AAAAATTTACTTGCCGCGAACTTTGTTACCGATTCACACACGCTCATACTGAGTCTGCGACATTTGCCATAATACAAAAAAAAGGTATTTCGACGAAATGTATATTTAATTAACAAAGATAACCTGGCTTTCTAAGGACTTTTTATATATGCTCCTTGCTATTTTTTAATGCTTTTGAGCATTTTTAGTTCAAAAAAAAAAAACTAATGCAAATCTAAATAATCATTGGACACTTTAATCGTTGTATTTTCATTCAAACGTATAAAATCTATTTATTAGAATGCACCATACTTATCTAATCAATTACATAGTTATGTATAAATACATATGAAAGAGAAAATTTAATCATTGTCCGTTTTCCACTTTTCACGAGCTTCAACTTTAGCTTCAGGTACAAGAGAGCTTTTAACTCCTCCCAAGATGTTGGTTGTAGCCTGAGTGGCCAAAACTGCTGGGCAAACTACCAGCTGCGGTATTTGTCTCATTACAGCTCCTACAGCTCCCGTATAACCCTTTTGATCGTGCTCTGCTACAGCTGTTTCTATGAGATTGGCAGCGGAATCATTTATCCCCTCCTTCACTATCAGGTACGCATTTGTCACTCCTTCTCGTACGTCTTTTGGTCGTTGCGCTCGTTTCTTTTTATCCTTACGATGCTTGCGCACTCTTCCAACGGAAGGCCCAGAAGACACCATATCAAAGGCTGTCTCAGCTGTGAACTGTAAAAGTTGAATGATACGTGATGTTATTTCGAGCGCAGCGAGAGCAGTTCTGGCTGTAAAACTTTGTGCGCCGAGCTGAAGTCCTCGGATTATGCGACCATCCCTTTGATATTGCTCAATCGGTAGGCGAAATAGATCAATTACACCTTGTATAAATTGCACAAATGAATAAGTTGGCCCAACACCCTTCAAAATTTTTGGTAATTGATTCCTTTTAATATCCTTCAACCACTCCTTGCATAGATATGTTACTAACTTTTCAATGCCTAGGAATCCACGACGGTGAATAATTTTTTTTAACCGGATCTCGGAGCATTGTAACTGGCCCAAACCCATCAACAGCCCTGCAATTGGGCCGCGTGACAACTCAACGCGATGTCCGTGGTAATCGAAACGTATTGGCACGTCTGGACTAAATAATACCTCGCGAAAGTAAATTGGCGAATGTTTTTCTTTTGCTTCCATTTGTGCCAGCGATTTATTCATTACCTCATTTTCGAGTAATTCCAGATTCGTCGATATTAGTTTTCTTGCTTGTAGTTCGTTCTCTAATTCAGATGGCCCAACATCCATAACAGGGGCATGCGCTTCTGGAGGCGGATTGTCCGTAGCATGTGCCTCTTTCATGTTATTTCCCATATTAGTGAAATAGTCTGCCAAAAAAATTAATGTGTCCTGATCGATATGGAGCCGCATCGGCAGCAACGATATCCGAAGTGAACACTCTTCTGCTGCACTGAGCTTTGGATTTGGTCGAACATGTAGAGCTTTTATAACCACCATTTGTTGCGGACTTTTATGCGATGTAGTCCTTGTGCTGGGATGATATAGAAATTTATTTATTTCGGACGACTGCAAGCGATCCCTTATTTCAATATCGTTTATAACTAAAACTTGACGCGAAGCTTGGGCTGTGTAGTTTGGATATATTTCATATGATAAGCGAACTTTTGTAAGCTGAATTTCGACGATGACCCCATGATTTCGCTGTACCCCGCCAATTGTTTTCCATGATAGATCTTTCGGTTTATTTGCACCATGAACGCTATCTGCTTTTGAATATGAGACGCCGTGTTTATAAGCATCAGACATACGCAAGTGACTGGCTTCACTTGTTGCGCTCATATTCTCTGGGATTGATATGAAATCGTTGCCGCCGTACAAATGCCAAGTGAAAGTCATTTCGCAAAGCGTATAACGGGAAACAGGGATAGGAAAATCATATGGAGATTTGAGCAAATCGATCTTGTTAGAAGGCAAACAAAAATGATTGTCTACAATTCGCAGCGGATCTTCGCAAACTTTTACGTCGCGAACTCCACATTGCGACACCAGCTGTCTCTCATTTTCAGAAATAACACAATATTCGTCCTCTTGGGGCCTGCGCGGATACACGTTGTGTCTTGGTTCCAGGTTTACATCGCCCAAATCAGATTTCACCTGCGGCAGCACATCTGTACTAGGTTCGGCTGCTGAATATGATGTCGACATGACATGATGTTCAAAATTAAGAATTTCGGAAATTTCATTACCTTCATCGTATTCGAGGTCTGATGGGTTAGTCTGTTCTTCATCTGGAAAATAGTATGGTTCAATGCCGTGATCAGTAAAACCAGAGTTCTTCGATGTTGAGGGCGAAACGCTTATTGTGACAGTTTCTTGGAGCGCCTCTGCCATCATTAAATTTACCCTTTCTTGTTGCCACTCTTGTTGAGATTGATTTGGTTCATCTAGAAAACTGGATTCAATTTCATAATTTTCGGATTTCTGGGAAGTTCCACCTGTCTCATTTTGATCAGTTTCAAGAGAGTCTCCATCCATAGCCAAGTGTTCAATGAGTTGTGCCAGGGCTTTTCCAGAATCGCTGCAAGTTCTTAAATGTGCATCGTTCACCGAACATCTCAGATCAAATTTAGGATGCTTTCCTGACGAGTTTTCATTTAACCTTAACGATATGTCGAACAGTCCTATATCAAGTACTGGTACTAAATACCTCGATTCAATTAGTATTTTTTCATGTTTGGTTGATTCCTTGCAAGGTGCTATGGAGAGAATAAATTCTTCAATTATAAACCTCAGATTGCATCCATTCACCGAAGATATAACATTGCTGCTAATCGTAAAAGCACCTAATTCCAAAAGAGCTCTGTAGTCAAAATTTGATGGTCTGTAGTCGATTGCACAGTTCCACAGATGCAATTGCATTTCCGTGATTATACCGTATGGCGCGTAACCTTCTATAGGATAATCGACAACATCAAGAAAGTCAATAAGTTGGTGCAACCAAAATTGGTTGGATAACATTGAATTATATCGTAGGGTTGCCTGTTGAATGCTGGTAGTAACCCTCAATCGTTTTATCCTCTGATCAGTCACACGTTTTGTTTCTATCACCAAGGACATCATCTGTCTTTCGTTCATTATTGGTTGATTTGACTTTGACAAGCCCTCGGGAGTTTTATAAATGGTCTTTCGCATATATCGATCAGATTCGGTAGAGCCACATGCAAAAAGCTTAGTATACATTTCATGTATTAGACCGCAATGATCCATTTTAACATCGCCTACTTCGAGGCATAAATAGCACAAATTTCTATTTTCGTTATATCCACTAACAGAAAATATTTTAAGCTCATTCACCTTAATGTCAATTTTACCCACATCCTCAGGTATAATAAGATTTTCTTTATTACGTATAGGTAGAAATAGTCCAACGGATCCTTTTTGTATAAAAATTTCTACAGAACATTTGCTTTTTTGAAAATCAGGTTCTTCATGTTCCAACTCTTGTGATTTAATAGGATCATGTATTGAGAAATATATGCTCTCCGCCATTGAGATATTTTTAAGGTTAATTTTGTGACTTCCGTTTGAGTCGCTTTCCTCAAAATCAGACAAATAGGAATCATTAATGTTTCTTAATCTGGCCGCTGGTGTAACTGAAATATTGTATATGCTCTGTTTATTTTCTGTACTATCTACGTGGAGAGCATTTAAAATGGGTGAACTTGGCTCCCACATGAAGAGATCGCAATTGAAGCGATTGTATATGACTTCATAAAATTTTTTTGATCCTAGTACAATTTCAACATTGGGAACATTTATTTGAACTTGAATTTTTGACGTTCGCATTGTGGCGCTGCAGAATTCTTTCAATTCTTCAGTTTCGCCGGGAAGCAAAATAGTTTCTGACTCCGTATTGTCTCGTTTATTGTGCAACGTATCGCTTTCTCTGCATACGCGTTTTGCACTAAATGGTAGTCTATCTGAATGTGCTCTTGAACTGTTGCCGTACATTCGTTTATCCAAACAACTCTTTTTCAACTTAGTCCAATAATGTTCGTCAGGGATTGTGACAGTAATTTTAACGTAATCCAACGCATTTGCTTGGTCTGAGCTGGAGCTAGTTTTTAAAACCCAGACTTTATCTTCTAAGTTGTCTTCAACGTAATAGACGTTAAGCTCGTTTGAAAGTAGTTCGCACACCCCAGATACAATTTTTATACTCACATAATTAAATGAAATTAATAAAAAGTCACGACGAACGTTTTGTTGCCACCATGGTACGCGATTTGGATCGTGAATCGGCCTAGCATCAAATATTGGAAATCGTACCTTCACTTCCAACGATGTCGACGTTAAATTTGTAGTGAGTGTTAATTTTTGCGTCTCCTGCTTCGAGTAGTAGCAGCGCGTATTGTATGAAGAAAACGTAGCAAATGGCGAAGGTCCCAAAATTGCACTGAGTCGATCATATATAGAAATATCAACTTCTAACTCACATTTTTGCAGCGCTATATCGATTATCTTGGAACTGATATCTGATTTTATGCTTATAGAAACATCAGCACCATTGAATCCATCAGCTCGATCGAAAGTTATTAACTCAGAGGACTTTCCATTTAAGACTTCAAATAAATCCAACTTTTGCGCAATTATATTAAATTTAGATAGCAGCATATGTTTGATCCTATGTTGGCTTCCCTCGGAAATTATTGGGAATACTCGTATAAATAAGTGATTTTTTCCATCTGTTAACTTACTTGAGTCCATGTTTTTATCTACAACTCGTCTTAAGTTTTCAAAAAATGTGTTGGCAAAGCGCGTCATATTTTGCTCGCTGGTTTTATTTAAGGGACTTTGGTTGTTGGTGGAACTCTCAACCAAAATGTCTTCTATTAGTATTATAGAAACAAATGAGCATATTTTAAGGGAAAAATTTAAAATTTCTCCTGAATATTCTAAACTTGATGTTTTTCGTTGAAGCTTCGACAAGCCAGTTACAGTGCTACTGGAGCTAACTGAACTACTAGGAGGAGAATATCCTTTAGGTAAAACTTTTATTCGATCAAACCGTAAATGATGTAATGTGTCTCTATTAGTTGGCGTAGCTTCACAATCAATCCAATTTCCAAGTTCCACCAGCTCGTCTCTTTTATGATACATTTTGTAGTCGTTAAAGGCAATTACTTCAAGATTTTCTTCTGCTTGAATGTCACAACTGTCGTCCTGGAATGCGTCCATTAGTTTAAGAATAAGGTGTATTTGCCTGGGGGTGATCAAAGTGTAAACTGAACCCATTTCGGTGTTAATAACAACTTTTGGTCCGTTAATATTCTCCGACTGTTTCATTTTGATTCGTATATTTAAGTGTTCATTAATTTCGAGTATGGGAATATCACCAGTTTTCGATATATCTACACTGATGTAGCGCGAGGCTCCGGCACTTGTCTTCTGCTCTTCTGTACACAAACGCAAGCCACTTATGCTTATGTTGTGTTTAGCGAACATTGGCAGCAAGTATATATTTCCCTGTTGCTCATCTACGTTACTGGACGTTGGCAATCGGCAGTTTGGATTATCGTTTCGACGTCCTTCCATATAAGATTCCTTAGGATGCCTTTCGCAGCCAGTCTCATTTTCGTACATCAACTTGTTAATTTCGAAGCATAGTGATATCGTTTTGGAACTATCTGACGATTGATATTCCAAACGCAAAACAGTATTTGTAAACGAAGCTTTAATGCGATTCAATATATTGTCTATGGTTTCAGCGAACTTTTCAAGGCCAGGAATTGACTTGTTGTTTGCTTCTGAATTTTCTTCATTTTCATCGTCGTTCTGCATCATGCATTCTTCCGCCAACTGCATAGAACTGCTAGCTGACGACCACATTGATTCCAACATAGACGTTCCATTATTTTGTCGTTGTACTGGCCTTACTGAAATAACAGCGTCTGAAATCTCAATGTAGCTGCTGTTTGACATTAAAGCGTTCCAAGGCACAGTCACAGTTAGAAGTCCAATATGGCCGCTTATAACTTCCACAGACCATCCATGGCTTTCAAATAGCTTATTTAATGCATCTATATTTAAAGAAACATTTTTCACTGTGGCTTTGCCATTATAGAGGTCCACCTTCAACTGCTCCAGGTTAAGTCTTTCTTCCAAAAACTGGCCCAAATAGCGTTGTAAAAGATATCTGCATGTTTTAGTTTTGATGCCCGTCCACACATTAAACCACGACATCCTTGTAATTCTATTGCTTAATAAATAAACTAAATTTTCACAAGGCTTTGTTACTTTTCACTTCTGCGTTTTTAGTAAATATTTGCTCGCAATGGGACACAGCGTTGCCCTATGAACGAATTGGAAATTACGCTAAATGCGTTCGCTTTTGTGGATTGTTGGTAGCTAATAAAAGGGCAAACAAAAATGCATTAAACAAATATCTTATTATCTTAAATTTGTAAATGTGAACCAGTTTCAGATTTTTTAAGATTTCAGGACTTAAATTGTCTGAACAAATGTGTCGTTTGTTCCACTGATGCGTGTTTTATACACATAACATATAAGAAACAGGTGGCATCATTAAGTGGGTTGACACCAGCTGGCATGAACCAAAAATACAAGATTACGTAAGAACGCGACGTTGTATTTGTAACTGGTTTTGAGAAAAAAGTTTCCGAAAGCGGGTTCGTCAGCTGAGCGTTTGTTTACATCACAAGCACCACTATTTTACACTTTTATTCAAGTAAAGAAGAGTTAATTCAACATGACAACACATTTTAAAGCATTTTGTTGCATCATTTTACTTAAAATGTGCATTTAAGGTNTGACAACACATTTTAAAGCATTTTGTTGCATCATTTTACTTAAATTGTGCATTTAAGGCGGCTGACAATAATTTGGACTAATTTTGGTTTTCGCTGTTTTCTTTGCTTTGTTTACTTTTCGCTCGTTTTCCAGTGAAACAAGATGGCGTAGAACCCGCTAAAAAAATCGACTTTTTTCACTCTCTTGTTCTTACGTGATCTTGTGTCTTGCGTTCATGACAAGCACCACTATTATACACTTTTATTTAAGTAATAAAGAAGAGTTAATTCAACATGACAACACATTTTCAAGCATTTGATTGCATCATTTTACCTAAATTGTGCGCTTAAAGTAGCTGACAATAATTTTGGCTAATTTTGGTTTTCGTTGTTTTCTTTGCTTTGTTTACTGTTCGCTCGTTTTCCAGTGAAACCAGATGGCGTAGAACCCGCTAAAAAAATCTACTTTTTCACTCTCTTGTTCTTACGTGATCTTGTGTCTTTCGTTCATGACCAACGGGATGCGAATTTGAGGTCAAAAATAAAAGAAAGGTTCGTTTGTCATGCCTTGTGTTTGTCCATTACAAGGCGTATTCATACCAGGTGGCATGATACAAAAAAGAAGGTAGTTCCGTTTGCAGGTCTATTCTGCGCTGGAAATAGGTTCATTCCATAATCCAACTACACAAGATCTGACAAGATGGAGCAAAAGAAAAAAGTTATTTTCTGACTGACGTTTGTAATTTTGGCGCCATGTTATTTTCTGTGAAAAGTAAACAAAGAATATGAAGACGAAGCATAAAGAAAAAATGCAAGCAATGTTGTGCACATGTTTGTGCTAACCGATTTATTATTTATGTACGTGTATTTGCATTCAATCACCGCGCACTTAAAAAATCACTTAAAAATCACTGAAATAAACCACCGACAAAATACACATAAAGAAAGAAGCACAACAGAAAAAGCAAACTTCAAAATAACGAGTGTCACACAATTTTTTCCCAATTGCTATTGCAAATGGCTGCTTCTCAACCGGTCAGATCTGTTCTAATTGGTTCATGGGTTCATTCCTTATCTTTTTGGACTAAAATCTGAAAAAAGTCAAAATGCCAGAGCGTAAGCAAAACGCTCTCACTAAAAGAGAATAACAGGAAAAGTAAAGGCCCGCAAAAAACCAAATTTTTAGTCCAAAGAATGGCAACAACAAAACTAACGTCAAATAAGAATAGAAATGTATGTACAAAACACATTCACACAAGCACAAGCATAATAAACACTTACTATATCGATTATTTTTTGGCTCCTTCCAATTTCAATTCACTTTTTAGATTATTCTCACTTTCTGCGTATTCTTTAATTTCCGTTAATTTAAATTCAGTTAAGTTTGACACTTTTCAAGATTTTGCCAGAAATAATTCTGACTAAATCTGACTACTTGATGAGAGTCACTCTCACCGGGTGTTGCTTTCTCATTTTTGCTGTCATTTCCGAGTTAAGGAATGCTTTTTGGACTAAAACTGACTACTTCGGACTTTTTCTGACTACTTCTGGGAGCGGCCTATTAAATGTTTTGTAACCGGTAAATTAAGTTCTTGTCAAATTTTAAATTCATTTCGAATTCTGTGTACTCTTGTAAGCAGTAAATTTTGTTACCCTCTCATAAGCTGCTAACAAATTAACCAACGTAACCCCAATCGCTATGACAAGAACTGGTAAATCCTGATGTCAAATGTGACGTAAAATTTTTACAAAGTGTAGAATACCGACCTTTTAGCTATAGACAAACCAAAAATGTAATTGGATAGAACTTTTCATGTGGATTTCAGCCTTACAAAAATTATTTAGCGCAAGTAAAAAATTAAGAAGATATAGGAGGTTAAGTTAAAATTTTCGATATTTTGAAATATCAATATCTTATAACTACATACCCGATTTAACAACTAATTATGTCAAAATAAAGATGATTCGTTTATCTTTCAGCCGATGTACATAATTTTTATAATTTTTTATATTTTTAAGTCAAAAATACTAAAAAACAAAGTACATTAATTTTATCATTAAATTTCCTTTTTTGAAGAAAATTACATAATTAATGCTGCAGAAATTATATTATTTAGAAAGTACAAGTTATTACCTTATATATAAAGGTTTGCTATAGGGCGGAATTTAACAAAAGTAGTGGTAAACATCGAAATTGTATTTCTATTTTTTTTTAAAGCGTTTACCAAAAATTTGTTTTAAAAATGGTTATAGTGAATACGTCGTAAAAAAGCTATTAAAATTATCTTTGAATTAGCATCAATACTTTTCCAATCGTTCAAGTAGTTTCCGAGATATTAAACATATACAAAATAGAAAAGTTGAAGTTTAATGCAGCGTTTTCGCTG